GTAATGCGGAAGACAAATAGATTGCAAAAAGTGTACATTTTATCATACATTGTATCTTGACCATATGTTAGATGAGCTTTATGCTCAATTTGTAATCAAGAATAGATAAAGCCTTTATTATTATTTTTATTGTTATAGTATATGCTAAAGATTGCAATACTTACGGTTAATTGTTTATTTAATATCTTAAAATGATAATTTTAATTTTCTTATTAATTTGAAAACGTACAAATTCAGATTGATTTTATTGTTTTTATTTAAAGGGTCAAAGACAAGCTAGTGTAAACTGTGTATCTGTGTATGGGAAAAGTGAAATCAGCTATTTAACTATCACTCTCATTGGTAGTGTTGAAAAGGGAAGGAATTGTTTAGTCAGATTTGTGTGTACATCCTTCAAAACGATAGTGATTAGGATAGGTAAAACGAAAATGAACTAGGAACACAGTATAGAGAGGATATATTATACATCAGCATCTTTTGTTTTACAACCTAAGGAGTCCGACTCAAATATTGAAATATGATTATTAGTGATGAAATATGAATGTAAAATTAATATAAAAATACGATTGGCAATTACATTTTATACATAAAGTTAAGAATTTGCGATTCCATGCATATTGTTAGATATTTGAAGGAATATATATATATATATATATATATATATATATATAATGACAATATTTTGAACATAAACCTAAACCTATTTGGATCCTAATACATAGGACCCAAATAATACGTTTTAATAACGATATTATACTGTTCTATGACAAACTTAACATACAGAACAGTTTCGTTTTAAATAAACCTAATTGTTAAAAAGTCATTTTAAGATATTTAATAAATAATTAACCACAAGTATTGCAATCTTTAGCATACAATATAAAAATAATAATAATAATAAAGGCTTTATCTATTCCTGATAACATATTGAGCAGATACAATGTATGATAAAATGTACACTATTAGCAATCTATTTGTCTTCCTCAAAAACATTACATTGTTTTATATGGACAAAATGTTTTGATAAAATTGATAAAAAGTGACCGATTTTGTAGAATGAGAAAGCGTTGATTAAAACCCCGTATGAGTATGAATATGAAATTTCTTAATTTTTTGCTTTTTGATTTAAACACATCTTGTTGAAATTTATATACAATGGGAGTTGGGCACAAGTGTAACAACTTTTATTAAGCCCTTTCCCTACAATATATTTATACAAATTTTTAAATGTGGCATAATGCATATATATATATTTACATTGGCTTTAATTAAGAGGGATAGACAGAGAGGTAGTGAAGAGAGAAAAAGAGACTGGGGAGAGAGAGAGGGGGGAGGGTGGAGGGGGAGAGAGAGAGTGAAATCCTTAGAATAACAGTCTAAATCAAAGTATGATAATTCAACAAAGCTGACTTCCGTAATTTATTAAGTAATAAAATATCAGTGTATCTCGGACCATGTGATTTTTTCTTCTCCATGCAAACGGGCCCAGTGATAGTCTTATCACTATAGATATTTCTGCTATTCGAATGTTCATCACATCCCGTGCCTTGTATCTTTCTCCTTTTTGCTGATGCGAACATATAAATAATACAGAAGATGAAACATTCAACCCATGCCTAACAAAGTCATTTTTTATCGATGAAAGTGTTGTCTTGATCCATCAATACTACAGGGGAAACATAAGTAAATATTATTTCTGACGCGATGTGTCTATGACAACTAGCTAAATAAAGAACGAGGTGTCAAGAAACATATATATTTATATATGTATATACTATAAGTTCATTTTTATGCTGTAGTTGAAGATATAATATTGCAGCATTAATATCAATATTTCCTTTTGGTCTTCTTTGTTTATTNGGGGGGGGGGGGGGGGGGGGGGGGGTGTTAGAAGACCAGTTATACTATTTTATTAAAAAATATTGGGAAACAATTACATAAATAAGAACATAAAGCTTTACAACATGTTAACTATATATCTAACCTTTGTTTAATATGCATAAATTAAACTATTTGGTGTGATTGAATTTCCAAACGCATCAGTGGATGGCCTTGTGTGATACAATGGACTTTTTGGGTTGTATCTTTTGGGTGCCGTTTATACATGCAGCTCCATCAACAAATTATTTTTCTTTTCTCTTCATAATATGTATATATATATATATATATTATATGTCTTTTCGGTATCAAAATGAAAGGTTAGAATTTAAACCATTAGATTCAATTATAATAAAAATAAGTATTAGTAGTTGTTGCCCCTAATTTGATTATTAATTTGATAATACCAACTTGTTTATATGTGCATGTTTGTATGTGTTCTAATGTCTATGTCTATGCCGTACCACTGTTTGTTACTATGTTCGGAAAGGGTTTAAATAGGATATGCATGCTGCCCAATCCATTTTTCCTTTGACAATAATATTTATTGAAATTAAAAATAATGTTGCAGCAAATTAATAGACCGTATTCAATAAAATCTCTTCTGCTTCTTCAAAACGGGGAACATTTTGTGTATAGCATCAACACGAACCATACAATGCATAATTTGTTGGAATGGGAAAGATTTTGCATGTTAACTCGACAAAACCTGTAAAATGGGATTTTTTCTGTGTGTTACCGCCGCATCATAATGATGCTGTTGATGACCTCAACGTGAACTGTGACATGAGTAAAGCCTTGTATATTGACTCATTTCCTAAACTGTAAAAAGAATTACGTGTTGCCTAATATCTCAACATACGCAGTAAAATGAGTAATGTTTTCTCTATTGCCTCGAAAAATTAATTGTAAAATCGATAATATTAACATAAACTATAAAAAGAAATCTATTTTTTGTGTATGTTGCGTAGACATGAAATGTTTTTTGCCACGAAGGATACATTTTTTTTATTTTGTGTTCCTTATAATTACAAGAAAATACACACATACGACTGTGCTGAATTTGTTAAGATAACCATTTGGAAAATTCGTTCTTCAGTATGTAATATCTGTAAAATGATAATTGCTATCGATATTTGTTAGACTACCGATAGATTATGCCTATCAAAACGTTCAGCGGGGTTTGATCCCTTTCGATACACCAGTGTAAGTAAAACTGTAATAGATATATCTTTTATAAACACATTTTGCTGAATGATATAGTGTGCTTAGACAGTTTGTAAGTGTTTCTGAAAATGTCGTTGAGACCAAACCTAGTTTAAAACACATTACACTTTGTTGATTTCATCAAATAACCCGTCTTCCATGTCCGTTAGTTTGTGTCAATACAGCACAAGCATGCTTAGCATAAAAGATAACATTGTTGAACATTAATTCAAAGTCCCAAAAGAATTCGACTTCTACGGGTCCAACATATGTAATCTTATATAAAACAAATTTATTCTTTTTTGATATGTGTTATGTCCACTAGCTAAATATAGACCGAGCTCTAAAGGAAAGGACATATATAAATGTATATATATCAGGGTTCTTTGATGTTTCAGCTACGAAATAGTTCTTGATATTTTCAATGAAACATTTCTTAACATACATGAAAACTTCAGTATTTATTTCTGCAGAATATCAAAGAGTAGGAGTGATTTTTCAGGTAGTTATAACAACATCTTCATCTACATGAAGAGTATCAATATTGGGATAGAAATTTATGTTTAGCAAATGATGTAATTGCTAGTCGGCACCCAATTGTGTGTAACCAAAGCTCCATTCAGTCCCATCGATGGTCAAGCTCGGCACCAAAGCTCCATCGATCACATCCAACCACTTCTGTATAATTACGCACGAGGAAATCAGTGTCGCTTTCCGCTTGGCAAGTGTCAAACTAAAGGCTGTCAAAGACTTACATACTTGAGAATCCATGTGAGGTACAAGAAACAGGTCGATCGATCGAAGGAGAGAGAAAAGCTCAATGATGTATGTACGGTGCGGTATTAGCTACAGTGTCAATAGAAACAAATTAAAGAAGGTTCTATTTTGAAGCAGTTCCGAATGAATGACCATCCCTGTTTAGCCTGGAGCAAATCGTTTAATGAAACGTGCAGTTAACTGCTTATCAAATGAATTCAATTATTGTTTACTATTGTATGCTTTATTTCCTCTTTTAAACACGCTTAGCAACCACGTGACGGCCTTTGTAATCAGCTCATGAGGACGTTTGTAAAGAGAGAAATGCGAGATAGAACGAGATCTTGGAAATTGAAGCTGCCGTTCAAGTAGAACCTTTTAATTCTACTGATAAAAATAATGTCACATCGACATTTGATATGCTGCTTAGATAATACTCTATCAGTTTTCATGGATCGCATTAACATAGTTAAAACATAGATTTCATTGAGACAGCTACACAAAGAGAAAAAAATTCAAACGAGTTATCATATGTTTATTCACTGCGCTGTAAATTAATCTACATCT